AGAAAAAACGTGCTTTTCAATTTGCGAATATGAAGTCTCAAATGACCTGGAGGGATGGCGGAAGATTCAAGACACCGACTTTTAATGTAGACGAACAGATAACATCGACACAAGTTTTCACTCTCTCGGTTAACCAGCCATTACCGTCTTTTACCGATCGATTCCGCTTTTTACCGACGCGTTCAGTAAAACTAAAAAAACACCCCCTTCCCCCCAACGCTACGCCCCTGGAAGTGTCTTCTATGGGGTTAATGAGGGAGAAAATAAAGGGGTGTATAATTTTGGGGAGAGAATCTGGTATTTTTTGCCATAGATTTTGCCTTTTTCTTGTGAATTTGTCCTGTGTTGGTACAGATATAAACTTGATTAAACAGTTGTTGAGGTCATTCAAGTGCAGACAGTTGACTTTTTAAATGATCATGGTGATTGGTGAACTACCATCATATATCATCAATAATTAGTCCATCGTGTCATGACTTTGACATTTTCCCTGACCTTCATGTCAAAGGTCAATCTTAGACAGACTTGTGGCATCAATGAAAACTTGCGTCCATTTTGGTTAGAAAGTGGAATGTTTGTTTTCTCCCGAATTTGAAAATTAATAAAAGTCCGTACAGGCAAGACAACTCAATCAACATGGTAAATATTTTCATCTCAATCAACAGGGTAAATATTTTCATCTCAATCAACATGGTAAATATTTTCATCTCAATCAACATGGTAAATATTTTCATCTCAATCAACATGGTAAATATTTTCATCTCAATCAACATGGTAAATATTTTCATCTCAATCAACATGGTAAATATTTTCATCTCAATCAACAGGGTAAATATTTTCATCTCAATCAACATGGTAAATATTTTCATCTCAATCAACATGGTAAATATTTTCATCTCAATCAACAGGGTAAATATTTTCATCTCAATCAACATGGTAAATATTTTCATCTCAATCAACAGGGTAAATATTTTCATCTCAATCAACATGGTAAATATTTTCATCTCAATCAACATGGTAAATATTTTCATCTCAATCAACATGGTAAATATTTTCATCTCAATCAACATGGTAAATATTTTCATCTCAATCAACATGGTAAATATTTTCATCTCAATCAACATGGTAAATATTTTCATCTCAATCAACAGGGTAAATATTTTCATCTCAATCAACAAGGTAAATATTTTCATCTCAATCAACATGGTAAATATTTTCATCTCAATCAACATGGTAAATATTTTCATCTCAATAAACAAGGTAAATATTTTCATCTCAATCAACATGGTAAATATTTTCATCTCAATCAACAAGGTAAATATTTTCATCTCAATCAACATGGTAAATATTTTCATCTCAATCAACATGGTAAATATTTTCATCTCAATCAACAAGGTAAATATTTTCATCTCAATCAACAGGGTAAATATTTTCATCTCAATCAACAGGGTAAATATTTTCATCTCAATCAACATGGTAAATATTTTCATCTCAATCAACATGGTAAATATTTTCATCTCAATCAACAAGGTAAATATTTTCATCTCAATCAACATGT